TATTGCCCTAGGACAGGGTGAAGATTATTCTTAGCAGTCAACATAGAATTTACTTGTCACCATCTCTTAATGGAATCTAAGCTACAACCAAGAAAAAGGAATAATCTAATCATGGATACTCTCCAGATATTTGCCGCAGCTCCTGGTCTGTTATCCTGGGCCAATAACGAGGAAGCAACTGGTTCTTAATTCTTCCTTCAACAGGTGGTCTTGCCACCCTTAACTGGGTAAGTGAGCTAACATTTGCCTCCAAGCCTGCAGCCATAATAGATTTTACAGGTTTGGGCAAGAGATGGCGAGATCTAGACCCCTGCAAAAAGGAAGAACTCTTCTTGTTTAGTGGCCTTTCTTCAGCAACCACTGCAGGTAAAAAAATTTTATCTCCTGATGTTGCTGGAGGTGATATAGTTAAATTTGTTTGAACTGATGAACCGTGAGTATCTTTAATCGGCATATATTCCTTATATTCATTTAATTGGGCATTTTGAGCTGCTTCAACTGATGTCTGATTTAAAACTGACAAAAAGGGGCTTCCAAATTCTCCTGATGTAAGAAAATTTTCTTTCATTTTCCTCTGCCCAAGAGACTCAATCCTATCATCTGTCTGAGACAGAAACAACTGTGATTGGTCACTACTGCCTGCATCATCACCGAACTGAACAAGCTTCATCTTGTCAGTAATACCAACATTTGACTGACTGCCCACAGTAGTGAATTGCTTTCCCCCGCCATCATCTGCTGAGAATACTCTGCAATCTTTATTTTTTTCACCAGTCAAAGTCTGCATTAACATTCAGAGTCAACTTATCACTTCAATTCTGAAGAAAGCATCACAGACTCCAACTTAAAGGATAATAATGAATGAAAAGAAGGAAAGTAGCTGACTAAGCTCAAAATCCCTTGACAAATTCAATAATGTAACCGATAGAAAAAGTTGTGCCATTAGAAATTGACTGTTTTAGAAGTAATGCTTCTGAAATAATCGAATCTTGCCCATAACCATAACTAAGAGTCATGCGATGGGTTTTCAGCGTAAAACACCCAAATTTCTTCCTGGCCCTAAAGTCATTTTATTAGATCCTCTAAGCCCTTGAATCAAGACTAGAGATTTTAGAGATGGAGACAGACACCAACTATTATTCCAATTTCATGGAATTCGCCTTGAAAAGCTTGACCGTCTGAATTAGAGATTCTCAACAAAGTTGGGTGCTCCCCCTACCCTTGATTATCCTGAATCTCTGCAATGGTTGGCATCTTGCTATACTCGATGATCCCATCCACCAGGATGTATTTCCAATTCAAGTACAAGAATTATAACGTAGAAAAGTGGGGAAGGAAACACAGGTGTGCAGAAATCAAAATATAGAAAAAACAGGGGGGAAATGCAGGTATGGAAAACCCAAAATCCTAAAGCCCCTATTTGGTGTAACATCTGAGTTCAACTATGAATGTGCATCGGTTGATCTTACAGAGCAAATTCCATGACTTTCCGAGCAGCTAATACAATTTACACCACCACTGTCAAGTAGCTCGAGCCAAGAGCTAGACGCAACGCATCCACAATGAAGACGCTGCCATTGTTGAAACCAGTTACTTTTTGTGGCATAGTTTTACAGAGAAAACATTGTTCTAGGGGAGGCAGAGTTAATCAACCAATTACTTTTTGCAGCATAATGTTACAACATGCAGGCTAAAAAGAATATATTCAACCAGCTCACCTTACCACACGTTGTGCATTCCCTCCAACCAGAGTCGTTTGAGTGGAACTTGTCGCAGAAGACTAATTGTTCATAAGCAATGCTGCAGTCAATCCAGATGCTTATGTCATGTCTTTTCTAGTGTATACTTATCAGCCCAAAATGTAGGAAAGTCAAAGAAAACTAAAATGTGTAAACTAAAACATCATCCTAAGATAAAGATACCCATTGTGTCAAATGCCAAAGGCATTTGAATTCTATATAAGAGGTAGAAAAAACTTTTGACTGGTCAAAATGCAAGATATGGTTGACTAAAAAACTGAAACTTGAGTCTGGTCTGGTCTGGGCACATGGATTACAAGTTTTGTAAACTAATATCTTCTTTTCTCAGGCACCCAAAACTCCTTTTGGGCAAAGTTAGTTGGGTTATCAAAGCAACAAAAATAAAGGACACATAGACAAACCGCACAGACTCAGGTCCAAGGTTGAACCCGGTAGTAGTGTTGGTGTAATAGACTCAGAAAGTGAATCATCAAAATTTGGGGACAGCCACAAATTAATTTTTAAAATTTTTTTCAGCAGGGGAAGGGTGAGATTGAAGAAGCTGGGAAGGGGAAGGGGAGATTTGAACCCAGGACTTCTAAACCCATAGTCCTCAACCTCACCCAGAAATTATTCTTCTGCCAAAAGGATGGTAGCCTTATAGAACAAACCACTGAAATCTACAAGGTCGAAATTCAACCAATCACAAAGGAAGAGCCGGTTATTCAAAGTGCCCAAAATCAACTGCAGAAAAACCAACTATCCACAGTAGATGAGATTAGTATTCATTGTATACAACTGTACATAAGGGGGTTCTGGACTGTCTTTTAGTAAAGGAAACACAATTTGCACATCTTTACTCATGCCTAAAATACGACTGCAGTTTGGCTGGCACAAGAGAGAATTGTAGAAGAGTGTTTAGAACAAAAGTTGTAAGGAAAAGGATTACCTACCCGCAATGGTGACAGAGAGTGGCGAAGCCACCGGATCGTAAAGGCCAACCCCTTTTGAGATCAATTGAAGACGAGGATGAGGACGAAGTGCACTGCTGGTTCATGCATACCTTGGAATCCATTGCTCCACGAGTCTTCCTTCACACCACCTCCTCAATACTACTACTACTACTACTACTACTACTGGGGGTAATACATATAAGATTGTCCCAAAACAACACAAACGATTGAAACCATCTAATAGCAGTAGCAGCAGTAGTTGAGCAGTGGAAACAACCGTATATGTTCTGTTGGTAGGCAAGGTAGTATGTATGAGTAATATCCCTATCCCCTCAAACCCAATGAATCATAACAAAGCCAAAATCTTGAATTTAATTACTGCCAGTACTAAGTAGTAATGAAAACGGAAAAATAAAAATAAAAATAAAAATAAAAGGGAGATACGTCAAACAAAAGATATGCAGACTCCTCAAACAGCGGCCCCTTGGGGATTCTTGGCTCAGTAAGTCAGTAGTCTAGTAGTAGCGTCTGCTCCAAAGACTTTTCTAAGGCGCGGAGCAGCAGAGGAGCTGAGCAGAGCAGGGGGGGGCTGCTGATTTACGAGAGGTAGGGAACTCCACACACTACCCACTACCCTTTGGGTTTAGCAGGGAATTGGATGAGAGAAGGTATTTATTTATTTATTTTAGTCTAAAATATGTCAACTGTAACAATTTCTTGAAACAAAACTAGTGCAATGATCTCGCATGGCACTAAAGCAAAAGCAGAGAGAGAGAGAGAGAGGAGTAGTAGTTGCTTCAAGAATCCGCCAGTGGACGGGGGAAGGATACAGGTCGCCCACCTTTCTTTTTCAGCAGTGTTCGGTATTTTCTTTCTTTTTCTTAATCATGACATCTTCCATTTCATTCCTTCCCGAGAGCCTTAGCTTGCAAACCACTTTTACGTACTGCCACTGGGCTACTATCGTCTGTATCTAACTCCATATGTATCTTCCTGGGCTTCTTTGGTCGGATGGCCAGGACCCAGGAGCGGGGAGGAGAGGATGCATTTTTATTACAAGGAGAAAAATCTAGATCGCTACTAATGCTTTGCCCGCAAAAATTGGTGAACCTTCAAAATTTTATTAAGAAGATAATAATATCTTTTTTACCATAAATTATTACCGGCAGTTAATATGTTTGGTGGTTTTTATTGTGGTAAATTAGGATGATGAAGAGTCCTTAGAATGACATTTACCTTTCTTGGGGTTCAACTAAACTACCAATCAGCCCCCGCGTGAATGGTCCAACAGGGTTGCAAACAAGTCGAGCCGAGTCGAGTTTTGAACTAATCGAGCCGAGTCTCGACTAAATTTTACCAAACTCGAGCTCGACGAGCCGGCAATTTTCAAGCTCGAGCTCGACTCGAATCAAGTCGAGCCGAGCTCGAACTCGAACTCGAGCTCGAAAAAAATAAAAAATAATTATTTTATTTTTAAAAAAATAAATAAAATAATATTTTTTTCTTAATAAAGAATAAAATATTAAGGATATATACGTAATTTTACTATGAAAATAAAAAATAAAAAATAAAAAAATATAATATACGTAATTTTATTATTAAATAAAAAAAATATATATATACTCAAGCTCGCGACGAGCTTAATATTCTGAGCTCGAGTTCGAGCTCGAGCTCGACTCGATTCGTTTGCAACCCTAGGTCCAACGGTAGCGTCTCTTACCGGTGACCCTTGAGATCCCAAGTTCGAGTCTCTGCTCCGCTGGATTCTTCCGCGCATTTAATGTGTTCGAGCCGGGTTTGGGCGCCGGACCCGGGTCGCAGGGAATTAGTCGGGTCCCGTAAGGATTGACCCGGACACCCTTTTGTCGAAAAAAAAATAATAAAAATAAACTACCAATCAACACTAGAGGTTAGGCCAAGTTATTATATTCACCCCTATTGTTAGTAACGGCATCTAAAGTTTACCGTTAAATTTCATAAATTGACAAAATAGTACCTCTTCGTCCAAATGGTGCTATGTTCCCAAATATAAAGGCCAAAAGGTGATGGTTTTCAAGCTTCTTCTCAAAAGGTGAAATATATGTTCAGCAAATGCATTGTGCATTTCAGATAGGAGATTATTTGGATTAAAATTTTTTTTTTTTTTAAAAAATAACACAACACCTTTTTTATATGATATATATAAAATAAAAATAAAAATTTAAAAAATATGTTGACAGGCAAACAAATAAATCAATTTATGTATTTGCTAAATACACGGCTTTTTCGTCTTTTTGCAAACAACACACAAAACAGGGTGGAAAGGAGTGTCCGTGTCGGAGTGCGTGTGGATGGACATCCCCTCCCCAATTGAGGCAAAAAGAAGAGGCAGTATTGTGTGCGGGGGCACATTTGGCTGCTCCTTGATCCTTTTATCTCTGGTGAGAGACGCTGCTGAGACTGGTCTGGTCTGGTCTGCTCCCCAGACTCATAAATTTGGCGGGGGGAAGATCAAGAAAAGCACAAAGGTACCGGCTCCCAGCTCCTGAACCCATGGCGGGAATCACCAATTTCAAGCTCACTTCGTGCCCTTGCCTCCGTCCATCTCCAGCCTCTTCCCCATCAAACCCATTCCTTTTCTCAATGCGGCCTTTTCCGCTCTCCTCCCGTCGGCCAAGGTTCCCAAGTACTACTAGTAACTCTTTTTCCATTACCATTCTTTTTTCTCCGTTATTCGCTACATATGCCAGGCTTGTTTTCCTTTCTATACAGAAAACCGGAGAGAATTATTTTTTCCCCCTTCTTTCTTCTCCGCAGAAATCTTTGCATTTTCTAGCAATGATATCAAAGTGGGCTCCAATATTGAGGTAGATGGCTCGCCTTGGAGAGTCATAGGTAACTCAGTAGCCTTTCTTCCTCTTACTCCTTGTCTTTTTTTGTTTTCATTTTGTCTTGTTCTTCGCTGCTTGTTCTTGCAGTCGCCATTCCCAATGAGCGTAGTTGTGATTGTAAAACCTAAAATTGAGTGCTTTCTTTATTTGCCTGGGCTAATGTCTTACAGCACCTGTGATCTGTGTATGCTGCTTCAGATACTTAGGCTGTGCTTAGGACTAACATGTTGCTTGCTATTCATGCGAACGTATTTTATTTTACTGATTTTGCCACTGGAAACTCTGTCAACTTTTTCTTTTTTAGTGGATACGTGAACAATCGACACATTCAAGTTTATCTATCATTTTTGTTTGCTATCATTTTTAGTGGATAAAAAAAAAAAAAGTGTAGTCATCCAGCATTTAGTAGAAGAGTAGGAAAGTGGCACTTTTCTTCATGGCACATCCATGGACATATAAGCATTAGATGGTGATGTTAGGGCGAATGGTTGTCAGAAGATTGGATCGGTCAATTCATTTTGTGGATCGGTGAACTCATTTTGTGGAGCGTTATGTAGGACATAAATGCTAATGCAATGGTACTTGTAGGGGAAATTCTCACTTTCAGTTCCAATGCAAGTTTTTCAAAATCCGCCTTTGTCACTTGGAATCTCTTTCAAATTGTACAGCATCCTCAGTTACAGAGGGAAATTGTTTTACTAGCTGAAGACTGGGACATCATTGGGATTTTGACTCGTAGCTTTGGTCTCATGTGGTTTTAGTGTAAACAACTTGAAATTCTAAAAAATGATCATTTCCATATACATAGCTTGTCATCCTTCCATTCCGTTTTCCCATGTTAATTTTAACATTTTCTTAATTTTCTCCCTTCTTTAGAGTTCCTCCATGTGAAACCTGGAAAAGGAGCTGCATATGTAAGGACCACACTGCGGAATTATGTAACAGGAAACACGGTAGAGAAAACTTTTCGAGCTGGTAGCAAGGTAGTATTTTGATAACTGGCTTGTTTTTGTGCCTCTAATATGGTGTGTTACATTGTACCAATAAAGGAGTGAAGCTTTTGGTTCATCGCTGGCATGGTTACTGATCCACGTTATTTAACTCTCTCCTGTAGATATTTCCATCTTAGTTTACCACAACTGGGTTGATTTGGCCTTGTAAGACAGTTGGAAGAAAATATCTTACTTTAATGGTCCGTTTGATTCAATGTAAAATATTTTCAACGGAAAATGTCTTCCATGAAAAATTTTATCGAGGAAAATAATTACCTTCTCCATGTTTTTTCTGGTGTTTGGGAGGAGATGGAGACTACAAATCTTTAGTGAGCTATTGCACAAATGGTGGGTTTTGTTCTGAATCTTAAGGTTGGTGGGGGAGCTTGAATGGATAGTCTTACGACTTACGAGGCGGACATGGAAAATAACTTCAGTTCATTTATATGGGAAGTCATTTTACACCATCTGATGTAAACTATTTTCGGTAGGAAAAAATTTTCCCAAAGCGATAACCCAACCAAACAATAGAAAATCAGGAAAACATTTTCTGGAAAATATTTTCCTTCCAAACAAACAGACCCTAAGATTTTGTTATCCTCTTGGAAATTTAGAACAGGATTCCTTATGATGTTACAAGGCTGCGTGCATTACATTTTTTGAAAATTAGCATAAATTATATCAAGATGATGACCAAATGCGTCTTCTTTGAGAAGGTCAACTTTGGTAAAGCTTTAAGTTTGTTTAGGCAAGTAGGGTTCTTACTTCACTTAGTAATGGCAAGTAATATCTAAACAAGTATAGATTGCCCATGTTATTGACTGCACTAGCTACTTCATTCATAAAGTGCCAATTCTGAACACTTTTTGGTTTTGGTTTTAATGTTGACACTGACAAATTTCACAAGTTTCTTCTAACATATTTCTTCTTGATTTGTTTGTACATTCCTTAACACAAAACTGTTACGACAGATAGAAGAGGCAGACATATTTAAGGAAACGAAGCAATTCACTTACAAGGATGGTTCTCAATTTGTGTTCATGGACCTGGTACTGTTTTACTTGTTTTCCTAGTTTGTTCAACAGATAGTTGTCATAAGCATAAGATTCATATTCCTCTACTACAACTAAGGAATGAAGTTTTGTTCAACTATATTGCAGACCACATATGAAGAATTTCGTCTCAATGAGGCTGATGTTGGAGATAAAATGAAATGGCTGAAAGAAGGCATGGACTGTAATCTGCTATTTTGGAAGGGAAAAGTAATTTGGACACTTGATATCACAAGTTACTATCTTATTTGTGAAATGGAAATTCTTGTCATCATTGCTAGCCAGCTGGTTAATGTTGCTCTTTTTAATTAGGTCATTGATTTTGAACTTCCCATCACAGTGAAGTTGACTGTGGTTGATGTTGATCCTGGTGTGAGAGGTGACACGGCTCAAGGTAATGGTAGTTACTTCTTTTCTTGGTTAATTTGTTCCTTTATCGAAGTAATAAATAAGCTGATGATAGTAGAAAAGGCATAATTGATCCCTAGGGTGATAACATACAAATATTGTTAGCGTTTGGTGATCAGGTGGGCAGAAGGATAGAAAAATTAGATTTAAGAAATTACTTGGCTGATCCCTCACATTTGGATTAAATCTAATTTCAGGCCTCAGATTTTTTTTTCTCAAGAGATGAAAGATTTGACATTTCTTGAATTGCTAATCATGTTGCACACAGCCTCAAAGTGTTTGGGCGGATGATTTTGTCATTCGCATGTCTTACTATTGGGGACATTTAAGGAATGTTCTTTGTAAAGGTTTAACCACTTATTCATAACCCTCTCCTGCTTCATCCATGACTATTCTCTCCCTTCTTCCTCTTGTTTTTACTTTCATTCCTCCCCTTTAACATCCAACACAGTACCTGCTCTGGTATTCATGGGCATTGTAGGAGACTGGGAGAGGGTGGTTTTCAGCAGTGGAAGCAACAAGTGGATGAAGAGTAGAAATGCTTTGCATTATACATACATGGTTTTGTTTTTTATTTCTTATTTTTATTGCATTCTATGCCAAGACTTAATGCACCGGATACTGGCTTTTAAGATAACATGCTCCATCCAAAAACCTAATGTTGAAGTGCAAAGTGCTGATGAGCTCGATCGAAACAACTCTAGACAAAATTTATTGCCTCCTCTGAATGTAAAATGTTGTACTGAGGCTGAATCAGCATTTGAGGGAGTGGTTGTCTAATTTTGTACATCCTCAGTGAGAGATAATAAAAACAGAACTCAACTTTGAGGTTGGCTTGATTGAGGCAGAACCTGCCATTTACTGATTCAGAACCAATTCTCCCTGGTTGGTTCAGAAACGGCATATGAAAGGGTGGAAAATTAATTTTCAGTCGCCATTTGATGTTACAGAGCTTCCCATCCAATAGGGAGAACAAACCTTTCCCCACTCAGGCACTGTAAGCTTCTAAAATAGATTGTAAATACAGAGATATCCTGGTTCTCGGGTTATATGGTCTCTAGTGAATTTGTTATATTGTCAAATGTCAAGAGTTAATGAATAAGCACAAGTTAAGATTTTGTAGTTAGAAGATGCATGCTTAATCTGTGGGAGTGATTAGTTTCACTTGTGTTTGTATTTGGAGGTGGATTACTTTTTTCATTTATTTCTTGTTCTTGTTTGTGCAATTGTAATCTGGAGCGGTCTGGCAGGTGGGTCAAAACCAGCAACTCTTGACACTGGTGCTGTTGTCAGTGTTCCCTTGTTCATTGAGAGGGGCGAGGAAATTTTGGTGGATACGAGAACCGGGCAGTACATGGGTCGTGCGTAGGTTGTTATGAGATCGTTCTCGTAATAGGCTAGAATTTTGGTTTATGTTTCTTCTCCGGCTTTGACTTCCCCTTTTGGATTTGAGGAGAGCGAACATGCCCGTTTGGGCTTCCTCTGTTTGTGATTTTTCTATGATTGGTAAAGCTGTCTCTGATGCAACAAGCGTTTGATGTTGCGAAGCCTCCTAAAGGATAAGACGCTGGTAGTAGTTTTTCAGGTATTAAATCATGAGTTGTGTTACTGCAAGACTGTTTGTAACTCAGAACTTGGCCATATTCAGTGCAGTTTCTTTTTTTATACAAAATCCTCGAAAAGAGGTGACCTCTGATTTTCATTCTGAATCGATGAGTTGAGACGACCGAGCGCTTGCTGCTGACATTTTTATGGAAATTTGTTTCTGTGGATGAGAAGCGCCAGGCCTGTGGCTCGGTTCCACTCGAATTACAGAAGCAGCTCTAGCCGCTTTCTCCGTGGCACCACCCCTCTGTTGAAGCGCTGATCCATACACATTTACAAGCACCAACTAACATTTCAACTCAGCAATCAATCAGAGTGTCAAATAAAACATGTATGTAGAAGACAAAATGGGAATACACATGTTTTTGTGTGTGTATATATATATATATATATATTTCATTTTCTTTTTTGTCGGAAAAAGAGAGATTCAGACCATGTCATTTTTACCTTGCTACTTTAACAAGGCTCAGTTCTTGTTGTTAATAGTTTTCATATTTATAATGATGATACTCATGTTCTAAAGTAATTTCCCATAATAGATAGATTTTCACATGAATTTCATACGGGGAAAAAAAATTACTAATAAAACAGTCCAGTAGTAGTAAATGTTTTGTTGGGCTCTGCTTTGCCCTTTTTAGGTAGGTAGAGAGATTGTTGAGTGAAGGAGGCGAATGGGTGAGAAGCAGATATGCAGGAATGATGGGTTCATCAAAGATCAAACCCCCCGCATAGATCTACTGAATGCCGCCTTCCACAGGTGCCTGCGGTGGTCTTTTCCTTGTACGACCGGAGTTGACGACCGAACACCATCCTTTCTCGCAAACACCCTGCTCGTACCCACAACTAATGGTTTGATCAGCATCTTGACAACTTTGTGAATTCTAGACTTAAGGTGTCCGGCCGCCGCTGCACCACCTTGTTTGCCCTTTTGGGCCGCGCCACTGCCAGCTGCCCTTGTCCTGGCCACAGCAGATGATGATGGCTCAGACAGACTCCTCCCCAGCATGGCTTGTTTCAAATGAACCTCGAAGGAGAGCCTCTCGTACCGGTCCAACAACGTGCTTTGGCCCTCCTCCTCCTCCTGCTCACAAGGATCGTCGTCTCCAAGTTTCCCGAGCACCACTGCCATTTGATCATCAAACATTCTACTCCTAGTACGGCTTCGCTCGCTCATCTCTCTGTCTCCCCAAATTATTATGTACCACCACCCACTTGTACATTCTTTCACCTATAACCGTACAGCTTTAAAAAGCACCCAGCGGACACCCTCCCTGAAAACACAACATCTTATTATTCAGTTTTTTATGATCTTTCTCTGGTGCAAAGTGGAAAGTGGAAAGTGGAAACCCCCCCGGAGAAGCAGAAGCATATCATTTATTGTTGTATGCTATATAAGTAGTAAATATCATCTGACCGTCACTTACATAAATATCATCTGAACGGGCAGGTTAGGGAACTGGAAGATGCTTGTCCAACAAGCAATCTGCTCCCAGTAATATTAAAATGGATATGCAATCGACTCAAGTCCAGTCTTGGAGCGTCAGAAAACGAAGCAATCAATTTATAATTTCTTTATAAATCTATGCACGTTCATGTGATATAGATATACTCTCCTGTTAACTCGTCGCCTACAACCTCTTCTCTGTATCTTCCCTGTTCTTTTCTATCTCTTCTCGTCGTCTTAACTAACACCACTCTGTTTCTTCCATCTACCAACCATACAAACCCACCACCAATAGTAGTAGTGTTTATTTCTCTCTTTCCTCGTTATTGTATAATTAATTAGTTACTCTTTTTGATGAGTGAAGGTTTATGCTATTATTTATGTCTTCTTACGTACTAAAAGATACCGATATCTTCTCGTGAGTGTTTTTTTTTATAATGGATTTGCAACTGTTGTTTGTGGTAGTTTGCTATGGAGATTAATCTGTTCTTTTTTTTTTTTTGTTTCTAATACCGATATATTAGAGCTTGAGGCTGCTCTTAATATATATCGACGTGAGGTGATGGTCGGGTAGGTTTTTTTCCGTTTCAGGCGTTGGTGATGCTCCTCAGGTGAGGTGATGGTCGAGTGAATTAGTTTGAAACTTCATGAGAGGTTTCTGAAATTATCCCTCCTCCTAATTGTGCTTTTGGATGTGGTTATTTTGGAGGCTAGGCGCGACCGTTCGGCACTCTTACCCTTCTTTGTCAAGAAAAGACGGTCAGTCATAAACCCTGTTGTAGTTTTGATACGTACCGGTCTTCTCTTCTTGCCGTTGTCTGCTAATTCCGACGGCTTCTTTGTTGTGTCTAAGTTCACCATTCGGCTGTTGCGGACACCAATTCCTTCCGGCCGGTTTACTCTTTACACGTGAGCCACCACAGAGATTCTAGCAGGTTCCCAAATCCCAACCACCACTTATATATGCTTTCCTTTCCTCTCTCTCTCTCCTCTTCTTCTTCTTCTCCTTTTTGTTTGCTTGTACATTATTGAGTTTTATGAGGGACACTTTATGCTTTTTTTTTTTTTTTTTTGTCAAATATCAACTTCAATATATATATATATATATGACACTTTATGCTTTTCTTGCTCGACTGAAACTATATATATGTTTTGTTCCTTCCACATGATTTTTCTTTCTTTCCTTTTCCTCTTCTCCTCTCTAAAGAAAGGAAAGAAAGGACACAGGTGAAGGAGAAAAGGACCAAAAGAGACTGGCCATAATAAAAAATTTGCAAATCTTTATGCATGGACTCGAGACGTCGGAGGATCCGAGGCGGCGTAATATTAGATCAGTGTAGCAAGAACAACAATTAGCAAAGAGGGCAAGCCTGCCCTTATTATGGTGGTTGAGCAATTAAAACATAACCAACAGCATGCCTGCATGATGATGATGGTATTATCAAAGTGTGCGTCAGGTCAAAATTCATACTACTATTTAGCTCTCTTTTTTGAATTTCATTTTCTATTTATGTTGTTGTTTTGCTCTGCCTTGGTAATTAATTTATACCCAACTCCAATTAATCATCACTCGAGGGGAAAACCATAATAATCATCATCTTTTTTAGTCAGACCCAAGACCCCTCTGCTGCAATTAAAGTACCTTGTTGCCGTTGATGAGTTTTTGCTGGCCAAACACTTAAGTAACAGTACTGTGAGTGATGGAGGAAGGGGAGGAGGCAGATTGGCTTAGGAGGAGGAAGAGGCATGGGAAAGGGGATAGCAAACAAGGAGGAGAAATGGAGGGAGATCAGAGATGGGTGGGTGGGTGTTTGTTGAGGAGAATAAAAGGATAGCAATGGAGGAGAGAGAGAAATGGGTTAGGACAACGTACGAGTTAATACTCAATAAACATCCATAATACACAGTAGTAAAAACTTGGGGACTGCGAGAGGAAAATACTCATTATAGTAGTAGTAATTAATACTCTGTACATTTTGGTCGACAAAATTAGAATCAAAATTTAAGCGGTCAGAGTCAAGACAAAAAAAGGTTTCGTTCCGTTACGTGTCACCAAAGCGATACATATGCTCTGATTTGATTTTTTTATTTATTTAATTTAAATATAAAAGTAATACTACAGTGAAGCGTTGTGTTCGTAGAACTCCAGAATCAGAATCGGCCGTTTGGCATTGGGCCGGACCGGTGCCGGTGCGGTGTGCGATGTATGTGGGTTGCACCGACTACGTTTATATGATTCCAAAATTCTCCCCTACTTATTTGCCCCATCAAACAACTTTTTTTTTTTTTTTGGAAAAAGGAAAAAAATGAAGAATGAGTTTTAGGGAACTGGTAGACTGTGAGTATGCAGCATGTACCATTTCCACCACCGCTATTAAAATACTGCACTACTATTACTGCCACTACCGCTACTACCGCTACTACTAGGAGGAGGAGTAGTATTATATTTTATACGAGAGCCCACCGCCAACAGCAGCCGCGCCGCCGCGAACGGATTCTTCCTCCCCGACAGCTCTGCAGTAACCGCTGTGCCCTCCCTCCCTTCCACTGCCTTCCCTGCCCACCCCCACCCTCGTTATCATCTACAGAAGATTGATTATTCTGAGAGACGGAGCCAACAGCACAATTTTTTTTTATTTTTTTTTATTTTTGGCCTCCCCCCAAACTTAAAATAATAATAATAGTAAAGCATATGAAATCAGTTGTATTAGGGATTCTTCACCCTATATCTAACCTTTCACCTAACCATTTCTATACTCCAACTCCAACTCCGCCAATGCCTTCCTTCACTATTCACCCCTCTCCCTCCCTTTCACCTGCCTTCCGTCATCCTCCCCGACTCCTCTCCTTTACGCCGCCTCCGCTCGGCCTCCGACTTCCTCCGTTGCGCCGCCCCCCCGCTTTGCTTTTCTCTTTCACCGCCTCTCACGACGATTCCTCGGTCAGTCTATACTCTCTCCTTTCCCTCTCCCCACCCCCAAAAACAAAACCAAACCAAAAAATAACTTGTCCATCCAAGTTTATTACTCACCATCATTCGATCTTTGCCCGGGTTTCTGTTTCATGCTTGAATTTATCCTATTCTACTGCCAGGAAACATATCGCTCTGTTTTGCATACCCTCCCCCCAAAACACCCCCACACACCAAAACCAAAAACCACCCAAACATATTTAAAAAAAAAACCACACAACACTTCTCTCTTTTTCTTTTTTTTTTTGGGTTTGCGGTGTTTGTGTGTTTTTTTTTTTTTTTTGGGGGGGGGGGGGGTGGGGGATTGGGTGTGTTGTGGGGATGTGGTAGGGATGGGGGTTTGGTGGGTGGCGTTCTCGCAAAACACTCACTAAAAGTTTGAGTCTCGACGCTGAAGCATTTAATTGTGAAAAAACTTTTTCTCAGGAAAACCGCATTTGCTGAGGTGGTGTCTTCCCCTTCCCAGGAGTCAATAGCATCTCAACAACACCCCCCCCCCCCCCTCCCTTCTCTCCTCTTAATCCCAAAAAAAAAAACAAAAACCACATTTATTCTTTCCGTTCCAGAAATGTTCAATGCTTTGTCTTGTGCTCCATTCCTCTAGCTGCTTTGACTACTTGTCCGTCTTTGTTCTTGATATATTTGTATATTTGTCTCGTTCTCTATACTCGGTCTA